GCGCGTCCAAGCCTGGCACACCGTGGGTGTTTAGCAAACATGGGCTGAATGAATGACTTTGTTAAAAGAATGAATGAAAGTCCGAGGAGGCGGGGCAGCGGCTGCACACTCCCGTCTGGCCTTGGAGGAGCCGGGTTCCCTCTCCAAATGGGAAAAGCAGACCCGCCGTGTGTGCGGCGCTGGGTGGGAGGCTCACGATCCCCCGTGGGCCAGTCCTGGCCAGCCTGGCTCCCCGCCTCTCTCCCCTCCTCAGCTCTCCTGGTCAACGCCCCCTCCCCCGCCCACCGGCATCCAGCAGGAGTGGAAACAGCAAGGAGGAAATGCGATTAGATGTCAGGTGTTAGGGGAGGTGGCAGAGGACAGAGCTCTCCAGAGCCATAAAGCCCGCTGAAGAGCAGGAACACATTCCAGAGTTGGTTTTGTGCATGAGTGTGTGTGTGTGTGTGTGCGCGTGTGTGTGTGCGCGCGCGTGTGTGTTTTGCAGCTGTAAACTCCAGGGCCAGGGCTGTACGCTTGGGAAAGGGAAAAAGAAGCAGGACGGAGCCACACATGTGTTGCAGTGATTAAGCAGGAAAGGGGCGGAGGAGCGCCGGTCCCCGAGGGGGGAGACAGGTGGCTGGGCCCAGGGCAGCCCGAGGAGCCCCTGCAGGAAGGCTGGAATGTGCACTGCCCTCTGAGGGGGGTGGCGGAGTGCCGGATGGAGGTGGGGGGGTGGCCTGTGTGTGGCTCCCGTCCGAGCCTTCGCCGCCTGGACACAGCCCAGCTGGCTCTGGGGAAGACGTCCAGCTCCGAACAGGACTGAAATGACCCTTGGTTCTCCCTGGAGCAGGAGAAGCGATTGGCCCGGGGAGTTGGGAGGGGGCAGGGTGGAAAAGGCAGGCCGGCAGCTTTGGGGGTGTTGCTGCCCCCGGAGACATGGAAGGGGCCTGGGCAGGACTGGGCCAGGCCAGGAGTGGACTCAACCTGGGCAGGGTCTGGGCCAACAGAGATGGTGAACTGGCTCCCCTGGTCCTTTTTGCCCCGAAGCCCCCCAATGGCCCTCGCCACTCACCAGCTCCCACCCCAAAGCCCCCCATGGCCGCCACCATTCACAAGTCCCTGTTCCTCCTCCCCTCTCTCACCAGCACCAGACCCCTCCAGACTCCCAGCTCCCTGCCCAGCCTCCTGCCCCTGGTAGCCTCAGCCTCTCCTGACCCTCCTGCAGGGTGTGGGCTCTCCCGCCTCAGAGCCCCCACGGCCCCGAGGGCATCTTGAAAACCACTTGCACACACGGATGTGTGTTCAGCGCCGGCCACGTGCCAGACACTCTTCATACCTGGTCCTGTTGGGCCCCTTCAGCATCCAGGGCCTGGAGGCCTCTGGAGACTGAGGCCCAGAGAGAAACAGGGACTTGTAACCTGACCCGAAGGGGCGGCCCAGACAGCATCCCTCGTCTGCCCAGCAGATGGCGCCAGACCCAATGTGACCCGGGGCGGTCCGGGGCCACACTGTGGGGAGCCCCCGTCAGCGAGAGCACCCCGTTTTATAGAGGTGCTGAATGTCTGGAACGCCGGGCAGTTCGCTGCTCCCCTCCTGGACAGTCTGTCTGCCGGCCCAGGAGACCCGGTCAGCATCCTCCAAAGTTTGTCCCTGCGTCTTCCAAAGTTTGAGCCCATGGTGGAACGTGCCCCTGGGAGGGTCAGAATTCCTTGGTTGACAGAACAGACGCCAGAGGCTGGGCTGGGTGCTCACAACAACCCCAGGAGGCAGGTGCACTGAGGGTTCCGTTTCCCAGGTGAGCACACTGAGGCTCCCAGGGCCAGGGCAGGCCGAGGTCCAGAGCCGTGCACAGCAGCCCTTGTGTCTGGGCTTTCCGTGTGGGGCTCCCTGAGGCTCCTTGCATCTGGTGGGAGGGGAGTGGGCTTCACTGCTCCCCGACTCCTTCCTTGGGGTCCCCAGGCCTGAACTGATGTTCAGGGCCCCACTTTTGTGTGGTGAGCTGTGTGTCCATGCATGTATCTGCAACTGGGATTGAGACACGCGCTCGGGCTGTCTTCAGCTGCTTGCCCCAAACTGGGAGCTAAAACCGACCCCCAGTTTCTGAGTCTCCCTCTTCCCCACCCTCCCCCTGCCATGAGCCAGGTGAGGGCTCTGCCCCTGCTCTTCTCTGGGCTCTTGGCATGCCCGTCACCCTGGGAACCTGAGTGTGCTCATCTGTGAAATGGAACCCTCTGCGCACCTGACCAGCCTCTGTGTCTGTTCCATAAACCAGGGAATTCTCACCCTCTCAGAGGTGGGTCCTGTTCTCATTTGCAGAGAGGGCCCAGGTGCTGAGGCACGGGGTTGGCGTTTGAACCCAGGCTGCCTGTACCTCACAACCTGTGTTGCAATCTGCTACCCGGCCGCTGGGATGCTGAGTACACCTGGCGAGTGCCACTCACTGAGTGAGGCTGAGAGGAGGCGCCTCACCCAGGGCCAGCAGCAACAATGGCCCACGGTTTCTCCTGTGGGTCCAGGAATTAGTCTCCTGGCCGGAGCTCCTGGACCCAACCTGTCTTTGGGTTTGGGGGGTGAGACCTGTGGCAGGGGAGGGGGCTGGTGGAGACACTGTCGGGGAGCCCTCGTGGGCAGAAGACCCTCTGGCTGGGTTTTGCAGGTTTCCTGAGAAGTTATTTACCTTTGCTGTGGTTCCTGCTGGAGCTGTCCTCAGACACCAGGGCTCTGCCATTGGACAGGCTGTCAAATCTGAGACAGCACAGAGACACAGAATCCAGCCCGCTGCCCCTTGCCCTGGGGGCCTGCCCATGCTGTCCCGCTTAGCTGGAGTGCCAGCAGGAAACTCACTTCTGGCCACGCCGGGGCTTCTCGGGCTCCATCAAGATCGGGGGGCAGAAGAGCCTCTTTCTCGTGGAATCTCAGGCCATGAGTGGCCCAAGTAGTCTGTGCTGGCCTCAGTTACCCCGATTCGCAGTGCAGTCATGGCCTAGCAGAGAACACCAGCGCTCCTGGCAAAGAA